CCCCAATAAAATAAAAATTTTTCTTAGGTTAAAAAAAAAGAAGCAAAAAGTATAGGCGATTTGGTTTTCTTCTCCCTATTCCTGGAATAAGTTAGTTATTGTAATGTTTTGTGAATCAACTCCAGCCGACTTCCACAATGATTCAAATAAATTTTTTGCGTTAAGCACACGGGTACATCTTGGCAGAGGTGATCATAGTGCAGGGTCATAATCGTGCCTTGCTCATTTTGCTCATGGGATAGTAGAGTCCCAGGAACCACTGTATTATTAGCATAGTGGATGTGGAGGAGTATTATAAGCAAGCTTTGAATGACCTCTTTGCAGTTAGGGAAGAAGAGGGTAACTAGCTTAACTTGTTCTCTGAAATTTCTGTTAACGTCTTGGTTGCATGTGTGCTGTGACCTTGATTATTTGAGCATCCTAATATCACTGATACTAAGCTGATTTAAATTGGTAATATATTCTTTTAGTAATTCTAGTGAGAACTAAGGAGGGTTTAATTTGTTTGTTTTTCCTGCTTTTCTTTTCCTCCTTTCTACGAAGCTGGAAAATAAAAAAAAGGGGAAACTTCAAAAGCAGATATGTCAAGTTGTTCTGGATCATTTTGAGAAGCAGTACGCAACGGAACTGGGAGGTACATGGACCAGTGTCAGGTCTGTTGTTTTGGGAAAATCGGGGAGGGAGAAGAGAGGTTTTGTAATTTTTTTAAGCACATCATAAAATAAGGTTGAAAAGAGTCATGGACTGCTTCAGTTTATTTTCAGTTTAGAACTAGTATAAAAGTGTTAAATAGCTAAATAACTAAAACTTTGAGTTTTTAATTTTTTTCCTTGACTTGATTCTTTTGGACGTGATGAAGTTTCCGTTCTCCTGTATGCATGTGCACTGTGAGGAGACTGACATCTTAAGTGTTTGTCGACTGTTTTGTAAAAATGTGGTCCAAAAAGCCACCCCTATATACTTAACAGCTGCTGTTAGGGGTTTTATTTTGCTACAGCTTCACAGTATCTTCAGAGGCTGGGACAAAGAGGTTAGGAGAGAAGTACATCCCCTGGTTTCTTTCATTAGAAGAAATTGAATATTAGCAACATGTACGGAAAAGGCCATCGCTTAACTTGGGCCTTGATCACCCAGCTGCTAAAAAGCTGGCTGTGGTATGGAGAGAAGATATCTTCCCTTCCCTGCTAGCAGGTGGTTGTCGCTCATCAGAAAGCCAGCAGAAGAGCCCGTCTGGAGAAGTCCACTGCTTACCTTATATACTTTTCAATAGGAATTTGAACAAAAGCAGTTGACTTTGACCTAAAGGCCATAAGAAGTGCTCCCGTGATCAGTGCCGCGATTGAAGGGAAAAGCATCTTATATGATCAGAGTCTTAGAAACGATGTGATTCCTCTGAGTGACCTCTTTGGTTTAGCCTGTTTCGATTAAAAAGTAGTTTTAAATAAGTGTTTCCATTGGTTAAAAGCCAAAACCAAACCAAACAAAAACGTAGATGTATATCATTAGTTTCAGTGAATCAGCTTAAAAACTTTTTTAGGTTGGATCAATGTGTATTCCTCTTTCAGGCAGTGAATATTCCTGAGGAGTATTTTTTGAGGCTAAATGAAAAAATACTGAGAAATTTAAATAGAAGATGGGGGAAATCCATGTAAGAAAGGTCTGAAAAACTGAACTGAAATACGAACAGGCATGTTCCAACCCTATAAGCTTTTACTGTCTTCCAGGAATACCTATTGGTTTAAGTTTTTCTGGCCCAGTGTTTGCAGAACATAAAAGGAAACAGAAAAGAACACTTGTAAAAACTTCATTTTACGGTGTTGGCTGAAATAACCATTGCAAAGCTAATGTGATTCTTTGTGTTGTGATATTTACAGCTTAGTATTAGAGCTGTTCTTTTTCCTTGGGGAAGTACTTCATAGTCAGAAAGACCATTATGCTTCATAATTTATAACTTCTACACTCATTTGTTAAGGAATTAGGAAAAATAGAGAACATCTAATTTCAGAAGAAGTTGGTGTTTTAAATGCAATAATGAGAGAAAACAGTGGCTCGATTTCCTCTTAAAATTATTTTCCTGCATACTTTTCTTAATCATGTCTGATCAAAGTGTGTCCTTTTTGATTATACTGGAATCATTCAATGATGAGATTGTTACCCTTACATAAGAAAAAGCTTCCTATGTTATGGAGAGCTCATTTTATTTGTCAAGTTATTAAATCGCCTTTCCTTTTTCCAACCTAGAGATGTACTCACATACCCATTGTGCTGGCAGTATGCCGTTCTGCTTAACAAGTTCAGCCAGTCCGCGGAACTGGAGAACACCTTGCGTGTGAAGGGGTATCATCCTGCCTTTCAAGGAAGTTTGCCCTATCTTCCAGCGTCGTTTAAGTGCTACATCAGGAGAAGTCCTGGGAGATTCCCTGCACAAAGACACCAGGCTGGTAAACTGAAAGAGTATTACCTGCTGAATGCTGCTTCGGTTTTGCCAGTGTTGGCGTTAGAAGTGAAAGATGGGGAAGATGTTTTGGATCTCTGTGCTGCCCCAGGGGGTAAATCAGTAGCTATACTGCAGTGTGCCTATCCAGGTAATGTATCGAGGTGCTGTGAGAAGCTGTTCGCTTGCTGTGTGCCTGGGCTGTTTCAGCTGTGCCTGTTTTCTGTACAAGATTTGGGTTGGGGGCAAAGAAAACCAAACAACAATTTGTATTCCAAGTAGTTCCTGCTATTTAGTAAGATTTTTTGAAGTCTGTGTACCTAGAAGAGGATGAAAAATGCCATAGTTATTTAAATGTAGGTTACTGCAGACTGACAGACAAAAGTGGAATAGCTCTGTTTTTCTTCTTCCGCTGGTTCCCTTCTTGTTACTTCTCAAGGAGTTACTTAGTCATGTGTATTTGTTGGCGCAGGGTGGTGAGTAATCTGCAATCTTAGAATACTTGTACTTTTTTCCTTATTTTTTTCTTTTCCTCTGCTACCTCTCTGGCCAGTGCTATGTAAATAGTATAAGTAAATTGGAGTGTACTAATGTAAAACAGAGCATAACAAAATTAAATGTGCAAGATACAGGCAGAGGGAGAAAGCTTATGATGAGGAATCGGTCTATATCAGCATTTAATAAACTCTGTGTCTCAATCCTCTTAAATGTTGCAGAAGGGCTCTAAGATAATCACAGTGTTTAGAAGGCAACAGAAAGCAGCAGATCAGTTCTTCCAGGCCAGGAAGCCGAGATTGCTGTTTCTAACATGTTTTATATGTTAGCTTGGGCAGCAATTGTCTCAAAATGTTCTCAGCACCTTATGTTCTTACTGGTGCGACCATTACTGTAACCACTTGCACCTGTTGATTACAGCTGGTTCTCCCTCCCTCTTCTAGAGGAATGAGGTGATGCCAATGAGGTAGATTAGATGTGCATTGCCCTTTCAAAAGCTTTGGAAAAACAAAAACCAAAACACTTGTATCCCATGGCTGCTTCTGAAGGTATCAAATTGTTGCTGAGAACATAAGATGTAAGGAAGTTGATTCTTGATATACCTCGGAGAATGTGAAGGTGTACCATACTGTGTGTGGCAAACGTAGTGTAGGACAACCTGTGGAGATGTGAAAATAGAAATTCTATCAAACTAGAAAACAAGACTAAGAGGAAAAAATACCATGCTGTGTTTCTGGTCTGGGTACAAGCAACAACAGGCTTCCTTCTTAAGGGGTAACTCCTCTGGCTGCGTTGTTAAAAGTAGGTGCAACCAAAAGGCTTCTGTTAAAACACTTCCAGCCTAAATTTCAAATAAATGGGGGTCGGACTGCTCGCCTTAGGACACACGGAACTGATACTTTATATAAAAGCCATTAATTAATGAGGAGCATGTACTTCAGTTAGACAATGGCTCAAGGAGCCCAGAAGGGTACCCGCTTAGCACTGGTCTTTGGATATGGATCATGTTTAATGTTCCTATTACTGTGGAAGTCTGTTGATACAGTAAGTATTTGCTAGTAAATTATTTATGGATTGCTCTGTAGGAGCATGCTGAAATTTACTCAGGTTTACAAAAATTCAGCAGTGTTATAAAATGTACAGTAACATAAGCTCCTAAGGTGTAAGGTCTATGGCAGTCATGGCAAAACAGTGGAAGTTCTGAAATCAGTGTCACTCCTTATATTTGTAAAAAAAAAACCCTAAACATAAAGACATAATTTAAGGTGTTTATTTACTTATATTTTTTAATTTTCTAAGGTCAGTTTCACTGTAATGAGTATGATGATTTGAGGTCAAGATGGCTGAAACAGACGATAGAATCCTTCATCCCAGATCCTTTGATTAACTTAATAACGCTCTCTAGACTGGATGGTAGACAGATTGGAGATCTTAAGCCTGAATTATATGACAAGGTAATGTTGTTGCTTATTAGCAAATTATATTTCTGTATTCTGCTTCTTTTTCTTCCTATGCCTATTTTGTTTTCTGGCCCCCACAAAAATATCTGACCTATCAAGGGTAAGCAGGATCATGTACAGGATTTGCAGAGCCTCAGGAATCACTTTATAAAGTCTGTTGTGTGTTTATTCATGTGTTAGATGATGTTACCCATTTAGCCTTGGTCGTGGATTCTGAAGACCTTGCAGCACTGTTCTTTATGTAATATGTGATTAGGAAGGGGGGGAAGCAAGTGAGAGCTATTCAGGTCAACTACTTCTTGAGTGGTAATTTCTAATCCCCACCCACCTGTAACTGTATAAAAACACATCAAACTAGTAATTAGATCATTTCTGCCCCTAAAATTGAAAATAAGAAGGGTGTTCTAAGTGTTTGCAAAAGTAAGTTGGGTAGATTTTTGGTACACAGCGTTCAGAAAGTGAGTATCTTTATTGTGAATTGTCTTGTCTGCTTTTATTTATTGGATAGGTACTGGTTGATGCTCCCTGTTCAAATGACAGAAGTTGGCTATTCTCTTCTGATCTTCAGAAAGCTACACTTAGGCTAGTACAAAGGAAGGAGTTAACATCTCTGCAATTCCAGCTGCTAAGGTGAGAAGTGCAAAGGAAAGCTATTAAAGGAGCTTTTCATAATTAATAAAAACAACATGGGGGCAAGATTTGTCATGTTTAATAACCAAAAACAGGTTTCAGCATGTGAAAAGAATGTGAGGAATAGGCTGTTGAAATGCTGTTTGGAATAAACAGTTGATCTAGTTGATTATGTGAATATGGAAATTTGTGTGGGGTAATTACAAGCAGTGAGGCCTAGGTCTTCTACTACCATACCGCTGTACAGTCCTCTTAACTCACTTGTTCAAGTATGTGTCCATTTTCAGATGACTCAGAACAGTCTGGTACCATATCAAAATACTTTTGATGGACACAGCTAAAATGATTTCAAATCTATTCCTCAACTGAAGCAAAACCTCACACATATAATTTTTAATAGTGTTTTGGGGTTTTTTTTAACGCTCTGTGAAAAGTAGTCTATAAACCTGGCAAGATGGACATTCTTCCCCAAACTAGTTTTGTTGTTGTTCTTTCACAGAATCATCCTTTACAGTTCTTTATTACAGTCTTTTTGATAACTGAGCTGTAAGTTAGGACTGGTTACCAACTGTCACTTAGGTGGTTACTTAATGCTGCTTTAGAATTTGCTTTATGGGCTGTTGATATGAAAGGATTGAGTCCACTACTGCACATTCTTACACACTGCTTGAATTTAATACACATTTGACTATTTGTAGCACAGAAAGACTACTGATCATAATTGATAGGGTGAAAAAAGTAAAAGAATGGGGGGGCGGGGGGCAGGAGAAAGGATTGTTTGTTTATTTTTCAAGAACATCCACCCAATAATTCAAATCAAGGTTGTCATGTGTTACACTTTTAAATGATACAGCCACAGGCTAGCATTTGTGAAGTATTTCAGACTCTACAGTTTTCCTTGCTGGGGAAAAAAAAAAAAGTGACTTCCCAATAATACCTTCTAGACTTGAGTGTTTTTTGCAAAGTAACAGTCACGCCTGAAGTCCATCTGTCAAAGCAAATTGAGAGAAAAGTAACATATTATAAAATAGAGAAAGGAAGATTTTATGGAGAGTGCCCATTGCAGCAGTTCAAGATAGTTTTGCATGACTTCCAGTTGAAAAAGGCCTAGCAGAAGCCTATGATTTATAACAGAAATATGAGTATCTTATTGCAGTAATGCGTCATGTCACCCATTTCCTTCAAAGAAATCCATCACATTTAAAACACTCCCCTGTTTTGGTTTTCCCTTTTCAATATTTGACATATAAAATCTACTTTGTGAACCCCTACCGGAAGAAAGCATATATCACACAGAGTAATTTTGAGAATTTGCATAAATTACTCCAGATTGTAATCCTGAAGTGGAGAAGTCATGACAGCAGGAGCCTTGGTTTTAAAAAGAGACATTCCTGTCAGCCCAAATCAGATTTAATTTAATTATTTCTAAATCAAGAAGAGAACTTTCCTTGTGTTGAAAGTATCCTGTACTATAGCAACAGCAATAAGGATTACATTTGTAAGGACAAAATATTTTTGGTATGTAAATTGAAGTAAAAGGTTGTTAATTTCTATTTCATTGCTCAACATAGGTCAGAGTAGTTCTATAGATTGACCAATCTATTGTTATGTACACTGGAATTTTTTTTGTCTTTTAAAAGATTTTGGAGCATATGAAATAAATGTTTAGGTTCAGGAGTTAGAGGTTACAAGAGTTATTGGGTAAAATGGTAAAGTAAATGGTTTAGCTGTCCACTGTATTTTTATTGTCCTTTTGTCTGATCACTTTAGAATGAATTTCAAGTAGTAAAGACATCTCAGATCCCTTGTGAAAGGGAAAAAGGGAATGATAAAATGAGACCAGGAAAAGCTAAATGATTCATGCAAGTGCATTAGAAGTCTGGCAAAGCCAAGATTGTGGCATGCTACCCTATTCAAGCCTTTGTTTTATGGCTTGAGTGCATAATTATAAATAAAAAATTGAGTTTGAATCCCATCTCTGATGCTTCCAGTAATATTCAGGAAGGCTGAACCTACATTAATCCAGCTATACTGCATCTTATGCGAGTCGGCTCATGCAGAGCTACCTTTGGCTTATCTATTCAGAATACCTGGTCCTTTATGCTTGTGGGCATTTCTCACCTTGGTTCCTGTATCTGTAAAACAAAAACAAGTATAAAGCTGAATCCCAGCAATTTTGTTGAGAATAGTGTGAGTAGTGTTGTTGAGAATATTGTGTGATTTGAAGATGAAGCTTAAAGTATAAGGACCAAGCATTATTTCAGTTTAGCAGTAGTATTAAGTATAAGGGCAAGACATAAATGAGAAGAATGAAATGCAAAGGGGAGTTCTGTTTTCATGTCAATCAAGTGACACTCAGACAAAAATTTGAGATTCCTTCTTTCTTAATTAAGGCAATGCTTCACTTGTAATCTGTTTTTCTGGGTTTGGTCATCTTGGTTTGGGTTTTTTAGCAGATCTACTTGGGAGGAAGGCTGGGGACATCAGTGAGGAAGTGAAGGAAGGAAAAGTATTTTTTGCAATACAGTGTAATTTATTAAGTACATAGAGGCTTCAGACAACAAAGGTCTGGAATAAGTGTTGAAACTGATACAACGATCCTCCAGTCTGTGTAAAATCTGAAATGTGAATAAGTGGTATAAATGCCGAACAGCAAATTTTATAACCACTGATTTGAGGGAAATTGGGATTGTAATGATTGTTAATAACGAAACCAAAGCATCCCTGCTGAGTGCTATAATCCAAGAACATGTTGCAAATCTTGTTATTATTTGGAGTGTTCATGCAGAAAACAAATTGCAAAGTAAGGAAGGAATGTTTGTTTCCTGATAGTGAATGCTAGCACGAAATGCAGTAGTTCCCGTAAGTGAATTTACCAATGTTATCAGTTCTCAGATAGAAATTAAATTTTGGGTTAAGATCAAGCGCCTAATAACTTAGTGGTGAAACTGTTATGGATGTTGTAATTATTCCTAGACCAGTTACTGCAGCTGAAAGAAGCTGTGTTAGAGTTCAGCTGAAAATAAATCCAACAGGATACAATTTAGAAAATGCAGGAAAGACATTCAGGCTGCTGTAACTCTTCTATACACAACATCTCTGAGTAATTAAGCAGCTCTAATTGGTGTTTAATAGAGTTCTGGTCCACAGAAATTCAGACTAAATTTAAAAGATGCATATTGGCTGCCTTTCATTTTTCACCTCTTTTCCCTAGTAGTTAGCTAGGGAAAGGGAGATTGTTTTGAATACCTAAATCATGCACACACAAATTTAAGAGATTTGGGAGAATTCGGGGTGCATGGGAAGTTTGAAGTGTGCTTTGGATTACTGGTGGCAAAATAAGCCATACAAAATGCTCGTTTTCCTAGCTGGTCTTTTTCAAGTTGTGTGTATTCTCGTTTTTCAGAACTTAGGATGAAGCATTAAACTTAGCTTGAGAAATCCAGAAAACCCGGTATTCTTCCTGCTTAATGAAATGTTTCAATCCCTGTTTTGCTTATAAATATGATTTTTAAGGAACTATGTCTGGTTCCGTGTAACATACGTATCTCCTCTTACAAACCCTGTGCAAGTGGAGCACAACAGAGAGATAAAATGAGTGTTCCCTCTGTAAAAAGAATTTTTTTGCTTTGGATATCATTCATAACATGGTGTTTGAAATTGCTGAGCTTTTTCAGGACAAGAGTATCAGAAATTTTGGGGTTTATTTTTTTAAATATCCCATTGAATAGTTTGGGAGGTGGGAGGGTTGTCCTCATGCTTTTAATTGGAAGGAAAATTTTAAAAATACTCAACCCAAATATTCTGAACCTATTTTTCTGAATTAAAGGATACTTAAACCATTAATTAATAACATATGTAAATAACCAGGTGTTGTGCAAGTGGCTTCATAAAGCTTTTGGTCTGTGTTTGTCTTGCTGCTTTGGTCCTGGAGCAGAGACTGCTGATCATGCAGCTGCTTTGTATGATGGTTTACCAAGCTGCACGCATGGGAGGTAAAATGAGATTGACTGTTTTCCCTGAAGTCATCAGGTAGAATTGGCAACCTAAGTCTCTAAGGGCTAATCTACATGCCATGGGACCCACTTTATTTTCTTCTGTCCAGACCTTTGAAAATGCATCTTACTTAAAATAAACGTTAAAACTTTTGGTGAAAACATAGTACAAAAATATAACAAACCTTAAGTTACAAGCTGGTCTGTTTTGTTTGGTATGTGAAAGTTAGTAATGTGGTTTCATAGAATACGTGTAGTCATAGATCTATGTTTTGAAAAAGAGGCTTTTTCAGACAGTGTGTAGTAAATACTGTGATTAACTGGAAAAATCCTGATACTTCTCGTCCCACATTCAGTGTCACCTCTATGTTTCCACTGAAATGTAGTTTTCCTCATGAACCTAGAAGAGAAATTCTGTGCTGTTAATTGTAGAGGTTTTTCTGTTGTTGTAGAGTGAAGGCAAAATTTGTTTTTTGTAAATAGACCATCATGTATTTAATATATGGTACCACGGTACCATTTCTGCTTTGATTAAGACAAAAGCCTTTATAGCACATGGGCATGTAATGATGAAGTAAAAAGGAAGATATTTCCAACTAGCTAGTTGTCCTGTCCAGGCATGTTTGTGCTATGCCATTCCCCAAAACGTTGGTTATGTTGCTGGAGGTATGAGTCATTTTACTGAGTGTTTTAGACTCAAGGTCAGTTTGAATTCCTTCACAAGGAGTGAGTGCTGTGGCCATTGGTGTGGCTCCAGGTTGTCTTCCATCAGAGATTTTAAAATAGTTTCTGATTTTAAGTACTGTCTGGTTCCTTAAGCCCTTGGCAGTGCCCTGTAAATAACTTACGGATCAAGTCCCTTATGATATGTTGTGAAAGGAAGTTTATTGAATTAAAAAAATAACTGCGTGAATAAACAAATGCGCTACCCAGCAGATAGGCAGTTGTTCTGGGATCATGGGTTTAAATTCAGACACAAATTTTGCTTTAATTCCACCTTCAGTC